GGGAAAGATACAATAAGGGTGTTCAGGACATGACTCACATAGTGGTCAGGTCATGACGCACATGATGGACACAGGTGTCCAGGAAAGGCCTAAAAAGGAATGAATGATTCATCTAAAAGGAAAGAGTGTTTTTTACACGTTGAACTGTATAAAAATAAGGTGCAAGAGCTAAAAAGTTCAGTTCGTGCTTCATCTCTCCCCCGGATGTACGGGACTCACACCAGGACCCTGTCATGCCCCAAGAAAGGAGGATTGTGGACCTGAAAGAACTCACGAGAGGAGCAGAAGAGTTTTTATTGACTAAGCAAAAGTGAAAAAGGATTATTTCTCCGAGTTTGTTACGCCACAAAAAAAAATTGGATTATTTCCCTCCTTCCTCTCGCCACAACTGCCATCGGACCACAAGAATGCTTCGCCCATGGGGAAGCAGCCCCGTACCGGGCAGCTTAGGGCGTCGGCTCATCTGGAGCGGTGAGGACTGAACGCACCGAGGGCCTAAGGTCGTGTCCTTTCCTCTACTACACCATCAATGGGCAACAGGTTCAGAACATATCTTTATTTGTCATAATGCCACAGCACATTTATTTTATATTCTGATCTATATACTATATTTAAGTGACTGAATGAGTATTTACATGATTTTTTACAATGGCTGAAATTTGCTTATGTGCTGTGCCCTATTCATTCAGAAAAATAAATTCTCATGAAATTGAAAGAAATTTTGTCACATCATACCTCGCCTTGCATACAGTAAATCCAGGATCTTACGCAATTAACATCATAGAAGATTCACCAACGGTTTAAGTCTATTCTCTGAAAAAAACTGACACCGTTGAGGTGTTTAAAACCCACGTGGAGCACCCCGAGCGCCTGGCTGTTCCTCGGTAGTGCACGTGCGGCGGCAGCGGGGCGGACACTCAGACGTACGACAGTCAGGAGCCGGACAAATCACCTCGACCATCGGCCTACGCAGACACGCTGGCCCCACGGGTCCTTACCCCTTGTACGGAGGGCCTATCAAGCTGCAGGTGGCCCCATAGCCTGGGATCTAACAATGTGAATGATATTTGTGAAAGTATGTTTTTCATGTTATGTTATATGTTGAATTGTGTTCAGTTTCTAAGTTTGTATGACAT